ACTAATTTCAATGCCATATATTAAAACCCTTTTTATTAATTTTTGTTTCCATTAACTAGTAAATTATTACCAGCTGAAACAGATTCCTGTGTGTTATGCAAAACATTCAGGAGTGTTTAATGTGTTAAAACAACCCAAAAAAAACAACAACAAAAAAACCCGTATTTAATGAAGCAAAACTCTGCAAGCCTCCAATTGGAAAACTACTGCAATGAATATTATGTTTCATCAGGCCCCAAGTTATTTAACCTTGATAGTATTAGTGGCCTTTCACAACCACACAAAAAAACATGTTTGTGGGAAAGACAAAGGTTAAAAAATATATATTTTTTATAGAATAATACAAAACAATGGATCAGGATCACCATTTTCAGAGATTACTTTACAGGGGGGAAAAAATCCACTTAAAGTGTTTAATAAAAAGTGGAACTTATTTTATTTCTACAGGAAAAGGGAAGTGAATCTTAACCATTACAGGAGAAACGCTGGGCTTCTCTGCTATATAACCTTAAGGAACTTATAGAGAAAAAAATATATAGCAATGGGGCTATGTAGTGCTAGAGCTTCACTTAATAATCCAAAGTACACTGATAACTACAGAGCCAACCGCTTTTCTAAATATAAATTATATTATTCGAACAAAGTAAGAAAATCTAGAACTTAACAAAAGAAGTTAATAGAACAAAAATGTATCACCTTCAGTAACTGGTCTTTTGACAATGCCTATAAATATTAAAAGGTAATGCCCCTTCAGATATCATATCCAGAATTTACTAGATCTGACTTATAAAGTCAAATGTGTTTAGTTTTTTTTTTTATTTAAAATCATAAATTACAAATATTACTAAAATATTTAAGGTAACCTACATGAATAGATGTTACTAACAAGTTCTAACATTTCTTATAAACACCTAAAATCCAAGTTAGTATCAGGAGTATATGAAAGGTTTGCCACGAAGGCTGAATGTAAGAAGAAATAAAGTTACAGGCGGAAGCAATAAATGTATGTATTTAAGTCACGCCTAGAAACGACTGAAGATTTACCCTGGAAATTAAACCCTATCTAAACGGTCTGAGGACTAAAACATTTAATTCATACCATAATATCTCAAATTAAAAAGCCCGATAACTAGCCACCAAGTCAAATAACAAATTTACTATGGTTATAACGTACCTTCATAATAATATTGGACAAGAAAGGTCGAGTATTTAGTAACCTCTCTTTCCGCAGTAATAAAAAACGTTACAAACGCATCTATCTTAGAAAATTACATTGTGCTAGTTTGTAAATTACACCCTCGGTTGATTAGGATTAGGAGTACAAACGGACATAAACTAAACACAAATGAGCCAAAAATAAATTAGGAACGTAAATGAAAGACCGTTCAGAGAATCTAATGTGCCATTTGTTGAAAAACACGCTTTCAGGTGATCTGAAGTAACACTTTCAGTTACGTTAGCCATCTAAAGATATCAATTACGGTAGTAGCCATACAGGCTAACGACTTTAGCCACCCGCTAATGTTATGCAAGTTAGCTGACTAATGTTGACAATTTTGAAACTCCGTCGTTTTAAACGGAACCCATAATGTCAGCTACACAATTTAGTACCATTAGACATTGTAGGCTTTTGTAAACATGAATGTCTGGGTTAAATAAAAAGATAAAAGTTTTGCAACGGTTTTTAAATGGACTCTGTTTCAACTGAAGCGACGTTAGCCGCTATTAGCAGCAGCTAGCAGTGTCACGATAGGCCGTTTAAGTCATGTCAAGCTAACTGTTAGCTTAGAGTTAGCCACAACCCTCCACACCAAGACTACAAACGTATAAAGTGTTGTCAAAGTTGTCACGTTCTCCATGAGTAGGATTTGCAAGAAGTGTCAGATTTCGCCTAGAGTACGATTCCTGGATCAGGTCAGAGTCCTGTAATAACCCTCACCTCTTTGGGTACGAACTGGTTCTCCTCGCTAGGCACCATTTCCATTTGTACGACAGTTTAGACAATCATCTATCCAGACAGGGATGTCATCGAAAAAACTTTGTAGTGGTAGACACAAACATGGTGTGTGTCCAGTTTGCGGTGATGTGAATGCTTGAACACCCAAATAAAACTTGGCGAAAAGTTGCAGGCTTATTAAAGTGATCGCAACATTCTCTGTTATACTACACAAGCACGGTGCCCTGTAATAAATGGAGAAAAATGGCCGCCCGGTGTTTTTACTCCGCGAGACTTCACTCGAGGAGCTTTGGCGTCACATTCCATCCAGACTGGCGTATGAGGACAGATGACGTCGGTAAATGCGTACAAGTGTTTTTTTTTTTTTGTCTGTTTGTGTGTTTTTTTTGTTTTCTTGTATGTATTTTGAGTAAAGCACAAGCAAAAGATAAACGCTAACGCTTCACTCTATGCTTTCTTATATTGCTGGTTATTTTTAGCAAACAAATCATATCAGAGTTAAGTTTTCACATACTTTTAAAAAGAAAAACAAATACCATAAAATGACTCATTATAGCAACAGTAATATGAAATACCTTCAAATTAGTTATAGTCTAAAAAATGATAATGCGCTGACAGCTCAGATTATACTGATACAATAGAAAGCATAGATTTTACACAATGGATGACAAAGTTGTTTCCAGGAAAAAAAAAAAAAAAAAAAAAAAGGGAATTTCAGATGTTTTATATAGTGGGTTTCCTTCTGGGGGAATCGAAATATTTTCTCTAAACATTTGAACCAGGGAAACGGTCCATTTGGATCTAAATACCCCAAATTCCTTCCATTTAGAATTACAATTCCATTTATGATGTTTACAGCAGTCTACTCCAATTACTTGACTTGAATGCTAGGAGACATCAGAATTATATATGTATGTAT